AAATCTCAGGATCTAACAGAAACATTCCCATCAAACTGATGGCGAAACGCATAACCTAGTTGCAAGACAATTCTATCAACTTCTGTCTAAAGTTGGGTAGCAGGGATATGGAGAGGTATTAATCTTGATAGATTGAGGGAGTGTTAATTTAGTTTGAAGGGCTTATGATTCACTAGGAGAGCTTAGCCTTATGGTATGCCGGGGAACTTGTTAGTTTATTAGGGAGGGGAAAGGGGGGTAGATAAGCGATATTGTAAATGGATATCAATCAGTAAATCAAAGGAAAATGGTAAATCCCACTTCGTAGGATCTAGGCTTGAGAAAATGCCCATTTCTCGCTAATCAAGAAGTTTTTCGATACAGATAACCAACTCCAATTAATTTGGCTACCATAGAACAATTAGTCTTATGTGTCAGCACCGAGCTCTGTTACTTCAGAAACTCAATCGATCTATTCCATACAGTTTGTACAGAATCGTGATAGATCTTAGAAGAATTCATGCAATGAGTCTTCGCCATCGTCTCACATTTGTCAACATCCATGTAAAAGATCTCAATGACAATAAACTTCTTGTCGAGAATTAGCATAAATGAAAACATTCTACCCAGGAGAATCCACCACCATCTGATCTAAAAATCACAAGTATGAAAATCCATGCTCTCTTTCTACAATCACAGCGAGTTCTTGCTAATTCTCTCATTTTCAGTAAATATCTGTGAGAATCTATAATAAGTATACTAAATCACTTATTAATATCTTACTAATCAAGAGATATATTGATGACTAATACATATACAATATGATTTTACACTATAAAATTATATTATTATATTTCTTAGAGAAAACACAAAAAAACTAAGGAAAGATTTTCTTGGAAAAACCTATTAATCTTTACTACATTTGAATTAGAATATTATTCTCTATCCTCTTTTAAAGTTATCGAATTGATATCTATTCGAGTTAGGGAGATATCATTATTAATGTTAAGGAAGGGAGTTTAATACATTTATATTGGAAATATTAATATTAATATTATTATTAATAAATTTACTAACTTATATTAAATATAATTAAAAAAAAAATTATAAATTCCTATAATAATTCAAACTTTTTAGTACTTAAAGATCTTATAAAAAGGTTTCAATTATAAAGAAGAAGGTTTTTAGATACAAAAAAATGAAGAATGAAAACTTTTTAAAAGGCCCTACTTTTTTTAAGAAATATTTTATAAAAAATATACCAACATAATATTTGATATTTTACTAATATGTTTATAGCTATTCTATATGAATAAAAAAAAAGCCAGACCTTCTAAAAAACATTCATAATATATCTATTCAGATATATAGTACTTTATATTAGTATACAATATTACTATAAAATACTAATTTCAATACTATCTCATATAACAAATAATACATTACTAATTATAATTAAAGAAATAGTAATTCTTTAATGTAGAATATATATTACTAAAACGATAGTATTTTAATATCATTATATTTACTATTTCAATCTTATTCAACCACCTAGTCCTATAATATAGTCTTATTCCTTATATTAATAAGATGGTCTGGTAGGCCCTAATATATTATGTTTTATATTAATAGGATAATCTAGTAGAAGGAAAGGGAATAGGAGATATTAGATTTTAAAAAGAAATTATATATTATTAATATATTATAAAAGAAGATAGATATAAGGCTTATAAATAATAAATTAAAGATTATAATAGGATTTCTAAAGGATTCGAAATATTAAAGAGTAAAGATAATCCTTTAAGAGAAATATGACATTATAATTAATCATAGCTTTTATAATATTTTAAGAAGAATTGAATAGAAAGAAAGGGATTATTATAATAGAATAGAAAGTGTAGAGTTTTTATAGGTATATTAAAGGATTTAATAAAAGAAGAGTTTTTGAATATAATAGGTCTATAATATAAATAATTTAAAGGATTTGAAAGAATTGTTTGGAAGATTGCTTATAGATTTTAATAAAAAAGTTTAAAAGAGGGTGAGTTTTTATTTCTTTTTCCCATCTATCTTATTCAATTAGAATCATATATAGGCGTATTATATGATCTTAGTATAGCTAGATAGACCGAATCGATTATGAATTTACTACTACTACTACTATATCTCTTATCAAATTGATTTATAATAAAGTAGAATATAATAAAACTAGATAAAAGATTATTAATAAAATAGATTAAATTGATTGATTATACTTCCTTTTTATAATATAAATGATTCTATAAAATTCAATTCAATTCAATTTTATCTATAAGTACAAAAACTATTAGAATTTTATTATAAGTTATATAAATTTAGAATATTCTTTAAAGAAAAACTAGAAAAAGTAAGCAAATTCAGATCTATTCAAGCTCTTTCTTATAATTTGATTTCAATTCAACTCTCATACTATATTCGATTTATTCCTTAAGCTGAAGTGACTAAGTCTTCCACTAATACTAGAAAACTATTATTATTATTACTATTCTAGAAGCCAACCTCCAAGAATCTCCTAGCTCTGTAAATCTTCACAAGTCGTTGAATTTCTTCTCAAGAATCACATTGACTCCACATAAAGCAAATTCGCCGAACTTCATATGAATTGTGTGTTGTCTGTACCAAACTAGCTAGCCATAATTATAACAGCGAATCTGTGTGGATAAAATACTACATCATTACTAATCTACTCACTCTCGCACTCTGTGATCTCCTATAAATAGTCTGCCAAAAATTATTTTCAATAGTCGCGAGTATTCCTTCCTCTCAAAGCAAATATAACATGTTCTTGGAAAGAAAGTCTCAGCTCTAGGAGTAGGACCCGGTCATGCTTGGTATTTAAATTGCTTGCTGAGATTTCTTCACTCATAAGGACGTCTCTTCGGTGATTCCAATGAGGAAGAATCCATAGTCATAGTACCACTGACAATAATAACACACCGGTGATGAAAATTCATAAGTAGACGAAAGTAAACTTTCAGACTAGAAACTGGCGATAATAAGTCAAATCAAGTAAATTTGCTCCAGCCTAGATCTGCATCACCTTTGTATCAATCCCAAGACCTCGCAACATTGTAGGCTTCATTGTACCTCAACCACCTTGCATGAACAGAAAAGCAAAAACAGACAATCTCGTAGCTTTTATATCTATATCTGTCTCCACCTCACTCTCCACAAAACTGGCAGCCCCCCCTTCCATGAAATATCACTTCTCATCACATAAGGTTCCCATCCAATACAAACTCACAAAACCCCTCCCATCCCCTACTAACTCATTCCTGCCCCTATCCCCTATCCCCCATCCCCCCTCCCCACTCTACACTTCCACCATTCCCCTAACTAAAACCCAAATATACAATTACAACTAGACTCTACTATATCTCCGAAACATCACATATAAAATAACCAATATAAAAATATCTCTTATTCTTTACTACACTTTTCCACTCTTTCCCTACCCTACTCTCATACAAACAAACAAATAACCATACAGTAAATCAAACAATAGCAGAATTGCTTCATATACACATAAATATCCATGTAAAAAAATATATCCGAACTTCCCATCTCGTTCACGCATTCATATCCCATAGAAATCTCTGATATTCTATACTTGTTTTGAGTCTTCTAAAGTTTGAAAGGTAGCATCTGAATTACTGTGGAGGAGTGGGTATGAAAGTGATGACAGTGGGTATGCTGATGAGAGTGAGAGTGATTATAACAGTTACAGTGACAGTCATTACAACAAATAACTATAAAGATAATAAAAAACACCACTCACCATTTTACCTCCGAGATACAATCTCCCATCCCATCACATCCCATCCCATCTCATCACACCTAATCTCCTCTTCTCGAATCCTAATATTCCCTTCTCATCACACTTAAAACCCCCCTCACAAACAACCAACCTACACCCCAAACAACCATCCCATCCTCACCATCCTCACCATACTCCCTGAATCTCCTTGAGTCCCTAAACATAAACCCTTTCCACAACCCAAAGACTTCCTCAAATACTGGTGCGTTTTCTTGGTATATCTTGCATAACTTACAAATAATGGAGGACTATCGATTCATAGACTATTAATCATGAATCATGAATCATGAACAATGAACAATGAATCAGGATTTTGACTTTTTTGAGTAAGTCCACTTTCATGTAGAGATTTAGTGGATTTCCTCTTCTTTTGTTAGGAACCTAATGAATCAAACAAGCCACTTTCGTTTGAAAGCAGGGAGTGGGGATACTAGCGTATTCTTTGTGTGAAGAGGAAAGGAAACGGGGTATATATAGCATATACATGGAAACCTAGGAATATCAAAGTATAGGAAAGACCCCAAGATTCGAATCGAATATGATTAATGACCCATAGCCAAGTTTTAGGGATGTCGAACTGAATGGAATTGATCTCGCCTACTTGAGTTATATCGGCATTGATGTATGATGGTAACGCATATTGTTGATTATTGTCTCGAGATTCTTGAGATTTTGTTGTTGTTGTTGTTGTTGTCGAAATTCAATGGGAGTGGTAGATAAATACTGTCAAACTAATCGGTATTGTTCTCATCCTGACTTTGCCATCTCATGCACTGAATTGCAGTGTATAAAAGAGCGTATAGTACTCAAGAAAAGGTAGGCATGTACATTTCGATCAAAGGATGATATTATAACATCAAGTAGCCACTTGAAGCGAGTCGGAATGAACATTGACCCCTGAGCTTGATTGTAGCTCATGGCTCTTGAAGTAAAGGTTAGCTTATTAAATACGAACTGTAATTGTATACTGTAGCACTTCAAGACTCGAAGATGGAGACATACTAGTCTACTTTCTGAGACTTCTCTGAAAAGGGGGGGGATCTACCTTATTCACTTGAACGTTGGCATACTGCCCATTCAATAATTCACCAGATAGTTTCTACCCACTGAAAACAAAACCCTCAACAACCTTCCATAAATCCCCCAAATACCCAACAATCAAGTCTCAATCCCTTAGACCCATTACACCCGGTAAACACTCTTCCAAAAACCCCCTCATCGCCACCAACGGAACACCATGTCTCATCGCCGTCTCCTCATCCCACGAAGAATGCAATCCAATCAACAACCCATCATCAGCTCTCCCCAACGGTGCCCCCGAATGTCCCCAATAAGTCCACGCATCATGTTTCAGTGCTCCAATCTCCGAATTCTCATGCGGATCCTGTCCCTGTGTCATTCCACAAAAAGATCCTTCTGATACCTCAAAAAGATTATACTTTGTCTTTCGATTGTCTGAAGATTCCAAATCATCGCTTCCAGGTTGTCCAATACATATAATAGCTATCCCATATCCCGGAGCCTGAACTCCCAATTTCACAAATGAGAATTCTGGAATACTATCCCTAATCACATCATCACCAATTTCCACCGTCACAATTTTCAACAGCGCCAAATCACGTTTTCGATCCCAAAAACGACATTCGACTTCAATCGCAAGACCAGTATAATATAAAAGCCACTGTCGTGGTTTGGCTTTCCATTCTTCCTCCGTCTCGCCAATGCAATGAGAACATGTAATTATCCATCCTGCGGGATCAATACATGCCGCAGTCCCAGCTTCATATTGCGCAAAAATCAAGGTTGATGTTAATAGATTGCGCATGTGAAATCCGGATGGTAAATCTTGGAGTGTGGATAATGCGGTAGCTTTAAGTCGTGATTGTTTCTTGCGGAGAAGTGTGAGTTCGGTTTGGTTTAGACCTTGTAGAGTGGAAGATCGTGGTATGAGTTGAATCTTTTCGTTTATTTTTGAAGTAGTAGGTGAAGTCTTATTGGAAATGAATTTCACTGGTTGTTCCAAATTTGCAGTCGGTTTGGATGGCAGTGAATTTATCGAGTTTGTATTCCAAACTGAGGATCTCAATATGCGTTTGTTGTTTTCCATATTGGCGTTAGCGAATTGGATGCTTGACTATATTTGTATAGATATTCGAACTTAAAAGTCTTTGTAAGTATAAATATCCAATAACTTATCAGTAATGTTTTAATACCACCCCCCCACCTTTCATTATTGATTTGAACACTTTTTATCGTAATGTCGTGTCGTGTCAAACCGCACTTTTGCATCTAGATCTTCAATGGTCTAGATGTATGCAATATTCAATAGGAGTCTGGCCACGATCTTTTTCCAGGTCAGTTCCCAGGGGCGTTTTACAGACCTAGGTCTGGCCAAAGTCCGATATGCAACAAAACTGTTTTTGAATTTGGTGTTTGGAGGGTTCTTTTGGATATGGATGAAGTTAATATTGTTAGAGTATCTCTAATCAGTTTCTAATCAGCAAGTGGTATAACTTGAGGATATTTCCGATACTTTCACGGGTTGCCTACATTTTGAAGTGAGAATACGAATGGGAACGTGCACTGGCATGTACACAATGTTTGTGTGTATCACATGATATATGGTCTTTTCTGGCGGCAGCACTACGATCTTGGATGGATGATTTGGTTGAATTACGACAGTCTCCAGGCTATTTATGCACATTCAATAAGGTTAATTGAGCTCCAGTTAGAGGCTTTTCTACCAAACAATGTTGTATAGCTTCTGATATTTTTGTCCTAATCACGTGCACTCCTAGGAGTCGAATATCTTGTCAATCTAGAACTGTGCATGAGAACTAGAGTCGTCAAACCAGAAGTCTTTGGACCACAATTCCACTTCTCATCCAATCTTCAATAGCCTATGATCATAATGTTGCTGGCAATAGCAATACATTAAGCCTAAATCTATCTTTAAGCCTTCTACTTCCCTTCACATCTGGGTCTTGAAAGTCCCAAGATTCTATCTCCCAATTTGTTAGTATACCATATGATTTCAGCAGACCTGTCTAGATGTCCTCAAAGCGTTCTTGTTCGTTTTTTATGAGAATCTGATACATTTTGTATATACGATCCCACCTCACGCGACCAAGACCAATATGAGTACCAGATATCCCAAAATAGCTCTGAAAATCTGTCAACCTTATGCCACCTCTAGCCGAAGTATTCATACAAGCAAACCTTTACCAATTCAAAGTTGATCCGACGACAAATTCAATGAAAACCTTTCACATAATCTGGTTTGACTAATGATCCTAGAATTATGGGTGGAAGTCTGGGTAGAAATCTGGGCAATACCCTTATGGAAATGATTCAAATGCGGGGTGTAATATGGTGGTATATGGTGTGGGCGTTAACAAATGTTGGATACTTTTCTGAAAATATAGATTTCTCTACTGTTTCACTCATTGTACATATCTACTTAGCTGGCCTATATGTAGAGCGCCTAATGGTGTGTTATAGTAAATCATATCATCATACCTACATCCTACCATTGCCAACCTAAGTCCGTATCTACATACTCGCATACATGCGTTCAAAATTCACCCATCACTACCGTATCCTCCCTACTATCCCATCTATATTAATCTATCTAGAGACTGTTGATAGTGAGGTTGTATTCCACATACCTCATATCTCGCACCCTGCTCATCATTGCATATACAAACACACTCGAAGCGGGGTTCCTGATATAACGCAGACAACGAGAATGGGGGGTGATTCGGGGTGATCAATATATATCTCACAATCACCATTATTTCAAGACAAGATGGATCGGCGATAGAACAAATTGAGAGCTGAAATTCATTCTTCGGTCACAGTCTCAATATTCATGTGAAAAGCCGATGTTTAAAACCTGATAAAGTTTATCAGGATGGTAGGGATGAAGATTTGCTAAGGGTTTTCTTAGTGTGTATGGGAAGGGAAGATCATTAATTTAATCTCATGGATTCGGTAGATTTTCTTTTAGATTTTGAGGAATCTGAACTTGGACGGGGCCGATATTGATAGATACGTAAGGGATATCTTAGTTCTAGTTCTAGTTTCCATAAACTGCCGAATAGAAAAGATAGATCACGATGAATACGAAGAATCATTCGCACGGAAGTCAGTACTAATTTGTACTATACTACTACTATATATCCACTACACAATACCAAATTTGTTATTGAGACCGAACACTCGCAGAGGAACGGCTACGGCAATTAAATGAATGAGCTTTGATGGTGTTGTTGTTCAATAAAGATCAAGCTTCAGTAGTGGAGAAGCCGAGATACAGAGCACTAAGATACCCCAATGTGGCGGGGATTGTGGATTTATGGATTTTATGGATTTTTATGGATTTATGGATACTTGTCTAACGGGGGAAGAAAATTGATATTCCATTACATTTCATTGGTTGAAATGTATTGCATTAAGCTTCGTTATCATTTAGCTATATCCACAATTTAACCATCCAAGACCTTATTCGATGCAGAAGAAAATCATATGGGGAAGAGGGGAGTGGAGGGGCCATACTCTTCAAATATTTCATTCCAACCTCTTCAATCTCTTCAACTCTTGATTCATGAACAATAACCATTCCCACCAAATCAATTGGTTACCCAAGCAAATTACTCAAATCTCAATAACCAAGCCCCTAGTAAAATGTTTGTCTCTACGCGAGTATGCGATATTCAAACCAACCGATACCAATCAATACCAATCAATACCACCTCATGATACCAACTTTCAGAAATCTTAACGAAAGGTGATCGCTTTAGACAAGGATATATTCCGGGGTAACATACACATTTGTTCACACCAACATAATGAGCTTTGCCTAATACAAGAACATCGCCGTTCCGTCTATGATCCACCGAGGCTCAATACTTGAATACACCGAAAGGGGAAATTTCATGGTGAGGTCTGACATCTGATTGTATAACAGGAACCCATACTCGAGTACCACATGAATAGTAATGGAAGGCTGTGCTTGGTTGCAATGTTACATTTGGTGCGTATTAGTCTCTCGGTAGAAGAGATGGAATGTTGTATGTATGTCAAGGTGTGTCAATCTCCTTCTTAATTGGTATAACAGACCATATCTCTAATTACGCCAAAAAGCTTAACAAAGTTGTTCAGCTAAACAGGTGTGGAATTATAAGGAATTATCGTAGTGACGGCGAGATTCTCGTGGTCCTGTTCGGTCATTGCGAAACAATGAGACCTCAAATTAGCCACTTCAAATCCCTTGGGTTTGATTATTTGCCATTCATAGTTTATAAGTATCATTGAGGGAAATCTTCTCACATGGTTTACTTTACATACTTCTTACAAATCGGACATAATACTCCATGGGGAATTCAAAAGTAGATCCAAGACTTCCACTCGTTACCCTTTCTATCATATCTTACTTGCCTCCCCAGTCAAAAAGACCCCTCTCTGTACATATCTCCAATAACTCCACATTAGATTGATGCCCTTCCTTTCTCCACCCGTGGATATCTTTTTTTCAAGAGATATAGAAGTATCGAAAGTTCTTCTTTTTTTCTTTATTCGACTTTTCTAATTCTTTTGGCCATCGTCATCGTTATAGGGGAATTATATTTCTTTGTTGAATGGTTATGCGACGTCATCAGATGAGATTTATTGGATGAATATTTGACTATAAATTATCGTATATCATATCAAATTGCATATCCATCAATTAGCGGAAATAACTCCGAGTAATCGATTCTACGAGAAAAACAATATATTTGCGATCTTTCCCAGAAATTACTCGTGGAAAATCAAAATGGTTGGAGGATTAGATGATTCGGATCAAAAGGTGGAGAGAACAGAGGTTGAACAATATGAGACAAGTCCACCACCAAAGAGATCCTTGGGTGGAAAAGTAAAAAGACATTGTGCTCGATTTTGGTGGATTCATCTTATAATTTTCTGTATATCATTTCTCATTATCGCGTTATGTCTGTAAGTATTTCTCAGATGTCCAATGTCTTGAAATCTATACTAACAAGAATAGTGTCTATGTCGCTATGCCTAAGATTGCTCAAGATGGTGTTAATGATTCCTCTCTCGAACTCACTCAACTCCAATTCACAGATCCAACTCCAGATACCATTGTTCTTGGTCAAGTAGGAATCCTTCACAGTCCTTCAATGTACACACCTACTCTTGACCCATTCAACGCCTCCTCATACCTCGTCACCAATGGCCAATATGCTTCATCCCCAATGGTCATCATTCCTCTCCCCAAAATCCACGCTCTCCACCCAAAATCCACCATCTCCGTCGAAAACCAAAAAGTATCCATCCTAAGCATCGACGCCCTCTCCGACTACACCACCGCCGTCCTCTCTAACGAATACGTCACCACCGCTCTCGTAGGAAAAACCAAACTCCACGAAGGTGCCCTCCCCGTCATCACCGTGAACTACAACCAAACATCCACATACAAAGGTCTCAACGGCCTCAAAGGCTTCAACGTCACCAACGTCCGCGTCAATCTAACTGCGCTCTCCGGTCCCAATCTCTCCGGCTACGCCTATATTCCCAATCCCTCTGATATGACCATCGTGATGGGCGACGTCACCTTGGAACTTTCCACCGCGGCGGGAGTCGTGGGGAACTCTACCATTGCAAACATGACACTCGTACCAGGGAATAATACACTCCCGATGACGGGAACGATGGATCAATCGAAGGTTCTCGGGAGCGCGGATCTGACCACCGGAATCGTACAGTTGAGTATTGTGGGGAAGAGTGCGATTTATAAGGGAGAACATTTGGTGTATTATGAGAGGGCGCTTGCGAGTAATAATTTGAGCTTGGCGTTGAATGTGGCGCAGGTGGTGAAGGATAGTGCGGGGGGGTTGGTTTGAGAGTGGGGAGTGGGGAATGGAGGATGGGAGGGATTTGCGATTGTGGAAATATATAATTAATTTCTCATCTGGTGTGAAAGAAAAGTCGGTTGTGTTTGTGTCTTTGGCAAGGGATGATGGGTGATGGGTTTAGCTTCCTGCTTTCTCCGTTACGAGACTGCGAGAGTGGTGAATGATGCATTTGGAAGAACTAGCATTGGAC